ACACATCTTGGGGAGGTGCGCATCGTACCAAAACCAGGTCACTGCGACCTTTATTTGACCTTTACCTTGACCTTGATCATATTTTCCTTTCGCTCTATATAACTTGGCCCCTATAATTGACCTAGCGCGACCAAACTTCGTATACTTACACATCTTGGGGAGGTGCGCATCGTACCAAAACCAGGTCACTGCGACCTTTATTTGACCTTTACCTTGACCTTGATCATATTTTCCTTTCGCTCTATATAACTTGGCCCCTATAATTGACCTAGCGCGACCAAACTTCGTATACTTACACATCTTGGGGAGGTGCGCATCGTACCAAAACCAGGTCACTGCGACCTTTATTTGACCTTTACCTTGACCTTGATCATATTTTCCTTTCGCTCTATATAACTTGGCCCCTATAATTGACCTAGCGCGACCAAACTTCGTATACTTACACATCTTGGGGAGGTGCGCATCGCGTACCAAAACCAGGTCACTGCGACCTTTATTTGACCTTTACCTTGACCTTGATCATATTTTCCTTTCGCTCTATATAACTTGGCCCCTATAATTGACCTAGCGCGACCAAACTTCGTATACTTACACATCTTGGGGAGAAGGTGTGTCGCGTACCAAAACCAGGTCACTGCGACCTTTATTTGAGATTGACATTGACCTTGATCATATTTCCTTTCCGCTCTATAACTCGGCCTCTAATTTACCTAGCGCTACCAAACTTGGTATACTTACACATCTTGGGGAGAATGTGTGTCGCGTCCCAAAACCACGTCACTGCGGCTTTTATTTGACCTTGACCTTGATCTTGACCTTGATCTTGATCATATTTGCCTTCTTCTCTATAACTCGGCCCCTAATTGACCTAGCGCGACCAAACTTCGTATACTTACACATCTTGGGGAGAAGGTGTGTCGCGTACCAAAACCCCTAAGGCAACCAATTTTAACATACTTGCACATCTCAGGCAGATGAGTTGTGTAACAAACCTTTGTCTTTGTGACTTATTTAACTTTACCTACCAAGCTACGTCTTTACAGAGATATTTCATTCATACTAGATCACGGGGGATACATGTAGTTGGCGACAACTGCCCTTTCTAGTTGTTATATACTTTTTGTGTGTGTGTTTACAGCCACAATTTATATCAGTCAGCAAGCTAACCAAGTACGTTGACCCTGGACAGCTTACCAAGGAATTTGGTGGTTATCTCCCATATCGACATGGATATTGGCTTTCTAACAGAGTGGTATGTAAGAATTATATTATTTTGGATAAAAACTTGTTGCTATAGAAACTCCTGGTGTTAGGGCTGAAACGCACTTATTCAGTACCTGATTTATGATTTTTTGCAGACACCTTTATGTTGTTTACCTCAGTCACAAGGTATATGAAGGTCCATATGTACATGGCCATATATTAGGATCTAGATAGAGAGATAACTGTCCTCTTGTTATGAACGTTTTTTATGATTAATTATTTTATGTTGTGTCAAATGATATGCGTGTAGGTTCGTTTCGTCAGACAGTTATTTGTGTATCACTATCTACATCTTGTCTCTGACTAGTTGGTTGTTTGGTCAGTTGGCAGAACGGTAGTGCCACACACATATATATATATATATGTATATATATATATATATACATGTTGCATCTAGTCACACCTTTCTTCGCATCGCAAACAATGTATATGTGGGCCATTCTTGTCATCAGTCACCTGAAGATATAAAGTATATTCAACTACGACAACGACTCATGGATTGAAATTCCAGTCTGGATAAATGATGACGACGACCCCCCTTTCCATTTTCCCCTGTAGACATTCCAGCGTCACCTGACGTGTGTCGACGACCCTGTGTTTGTCCCTAATTTTTTTCCGATCGTTTTCCAGGAGTACGAGCGATTCATGCGGGAGGCAAAGGACGTTCACAGGAGACTGGACCGCGCCGACTTCGAGATTTGCGAGCAGCTTGTGACGAAGAAGACGGCTCATGAGGACCTGCTGCACTTCCACAAGGACCTACACAGCTTCATCGTCAACGCACCCGAGGGCATCATACATGCAGGTGGGCACCCCCCCTCTCGCGCCTGTGGGGGCGCTGCATACTAGCGATGTCCAATTGATGGGTTGTAATCGATTGATTGATTGATTGATTGATTGAGAGGGGGGTTGAAATTATGAAAATAGTTGAAATTAGCTTGGTTACGAAATTCCAGCCTGTTCCTTTGTCAGTGGAGATTACAATAGTTTATAATGCTGTTAATACTCGAGCCGTAGCTCGATCAGTCAATTAAAACCAATCATGCGCTGAAAGGTTTCGTACATACACACATGAACACAATCACAGCTAGGATCGCGCATGTGTTTACAAACGCACGTAAACACAAATGCACCTACACATACATATATACACACATACGCGCACGTACGTACATATACATACACACACGCATGCACGCATGCACATCTATTACATATGTACATACTCTACACAAATGCATACATAAACGTATGTTCATCTTACACGTGCGTTTGCACACCTCACGTGGACGGCTCTTATATATATATATATATATAGCTTGCAATGTTTGTGATGTTCGTGGTTCATTCGACCATTTAGCGTTGTCCTTTTGTCATGCTTATCACTTATTTGCGGTTTGGAACATTATGTGTTTTTTTGTAGGGCGGCGCCTAGCCGCCAGTACATGCTGCTGTCACAGTGATACGCACTATGTGGTGGGGTTTCTAGCTGAGCAAGCACACAACCTGTTTTAGCGTAGTGATATATCTTACTGTCGTGACCATATTTATGAATGGATAAAATTGGGTAGTATGTGCGCTTTGTCGTAAACTAGTTATCAGAAAAAAACCGTCTGGTTGATAGTCAATTCACAATGGGTAAGTTATGTGTTAGAGTTTGTCATATGATACAGTGTGACAGGCATGGCAAAGGTTTATTACGGACAGGTCAATTGCCACTTATATAAATATAATGCAGCGTGACTGGATGAAGATGCGAATGTTTAATGCGACTGTATAATGTTGAACGTAGTTATCCAAATTTAGTTATTACTACAAGACATCGAGAGTCAGGATTACAATTGAAATTGCTGTCAGTTGAGTCTTGATTTGCTCATTTTTAGCTCATCTGACATAGTCAGATGCAGCTTGTAGAATCGCATGAGCGTGCGTGCGTCCGGCCGTGAGTCCGTCCGTGCGTCCGTCAACAGTTGGGCACAAATCTAAACGGCTCGACGTACGGTCACGATATTCGGGACGTGGGGTGGTAATCCGAAAACGAGTTGGGATGTCGAAGCTGGTGGTCAAAGGTCAAAGGTCAAGAGGTGTAAAAGAAGGGGGAACATTCCCTCCTTAACTTAAGGTATAGGGAGGAAATGCAGAATTGCGGCACAAATCTGAAACGGCTTGTACCTCAGGCTCGTGATAGTCGGTGTATATCATCGATTGGTAGGAAAAGCCATCCACTGGTGACCCGAAATTGGTAGGTTGTAACAGGTCAAAGGATCACTGGGCACAAGGGCAGAATATTTTTAGAATTTATCTGAGACATGGGTCGTGACGGAGGCCGATTGAAAAACTTTTTGTTTCAGTGGTGGACCTACTAAATTTTATGGAACTTTATTGAAAGGACAGTGAAATGTACTTCCCCGCTGAACATCGAAGAGTAAGTGCTCGGGACCGTTCAGAAGGAGGGTAAACGAGATCTGGAACTTTAGTTGACTGTTGGAATCAAAGGACTGATACTGCTTTTGCGTATTATTAGATCCGGCCCATACCTGTGGTGAATGTGAGTGGCTACCGTTGCATAGTTGAATATTCAAAGGCAAATGTTGTATGAACCAATGTCTACTCTTCACTTAATTCAATAATTACTTCTCAATGACAGTCAGAACTATAGCACTCTGAAGGCCTGAATCAGATGAATGCTCGCGTGGTGTAGGCACCAACGGGGCAGCCCATGCTGGCACTTCTTCTAATCATAATTGTTCCCTGGCAATTGGTAATGCACAATTGTTAAAAGGCATAATTCGACCGATCGATTATGCCAATTCTTAACGAAAATGCTACAGATAACTGGCACCCTATTGTGCTAGTAATAAAGTACGCAGGTATAACTCAGTAGCCAAACGCGTATTAGTTGTGTCCAATATTCCACTGCTGGTTACTAAGAAAATGATCTACATTGAAATCACGCCAGTCCAGAAATCAGTTAGTTGACAGCATACAAACCTGCCATGCCGGCTGTAACCGACCAGGAACTGGCGAAGGCGCGTGAATCATACAGATTTACGTGCACCGAGACCATTTTGCGCAAGGACGTATCTCCGGCGTCAGTGATTTTTTATCCCGATACCTTGTAGAGTCCTGAGTGCGCATATCCGTACTTATGTTTTAATACTCATTGGGATTCGGAATAAATGAATATAACGTTCTTGAGATATACAATGCAACATATAAGTTAGATGCAACAGGCATAATAAATAACACTAGAGCAAACAATTTACCCCGAACAAAAACAATTCGATGCTCAACATCGTTAACGCAACCATGTGACCGCACGAACCGAACGTCGAGTTTTATTTTGTTGGTCCATAAATTTCGGCCGTTGTCTGCCAGATTACCAATTACAGATTTCAAATTAGAACATTCTTAGTAAATTAGCAAGTGATAATTGGACAAACTAGTACGCGTTTGGCTATAGTAAATGTACTTTTAACTAACACAAGGTGCCAGTTAACTGTAGCATGTCGTCAACTCTTGGGCATAATCGATGTCGAATCTAATGCCTTTACGATCCCAGCTGAGCGAAATTATTCGCCTGTCCTGAATATACTTGGATTCATAGCGCTGTAGGATTCACAACTCCCAGGGAGCTAAGTTAGGGTATCTCAAAAGGCGACTGCCATCCTTGATTATGATTTACATGTGGCACGCCGCCGATCGTCGCGTTATACTATAGGCCTAAGTTTGAAAATTAAGATTTGTAATTCTCATGTAATCTGTTGTGCTAAACGAAATAAATAATAAACTAGTACCAATATTAATACTTAATATTTACCTTCTTGTCATCTTGAATCTTAACATAGTATCATGTAGCTATGGCGTGCATATCCCATTGTCACCAGTGTATATGCGAACATAGCTGTTACCCATAGAAATATTAGAGACCGACTATATATTATTATTCTTGATGGCTGTTACACTCAGGGGCATAAGGAACGCAACGTATATATTCGAGGCGCGGCAGGTAAAAAGATCATCCGCTGCTGGGTTAAATTTTTTTTATATAATTAAGAGAAGAGAGAGAGAAAGTCTAAGATAAAAGAGGAGAGAGAGAGAGTAGTCAATTGAGGACGGGACAGGAAAACGGTGATACGTGTGTATGCGAGCAGGAAACGGGTAAACGATTAAGTCGTGCGAGATGGTGTGCAAGGGGATGGGAGGTGGGAGGCAGGGGGAGGGAGGTCGAAGGCAGGGGAAGGGAGATGGGAGGTAAGGGGGTGGAAGTGGGAGGCAAGGGGAGTGAAGTGGGAGGCAGGGGGAGGAAGGTGAGAGGCAGGAGGGAGGGAGGTGGGACGCAGTGGGGAGGGAAGTGGGAGAGAAGGACCCCTCCCCCGCCCCCTCTAATTGAACTAGGAGATCCATGCTCATATGTTGAAATCTTTTATGTCAACGTCAATGTCATTCATTAACTTGTATTTGAATTGTTATTATTGTTCTTGTTACTTGAATTAGCTCATAGAGATTAGGTGGGTGCGAAAGTGTAGCTGATATATTTGTTCGAATTGTCTACGAAAGTCAAACAAGAATAAAGAAGACTTATGTATAAGACGTCTTGCTATGCACAAATGAAATGAATTTATCAGCAGAACACCAGACACCAGATGAGCCCTGTCACTCTGCAGCACTTGTTAATCCTAAGATTGTAGCAAAGACAAGTGCTGCAGTATTGTCGTAAAATGTCTTGAATTTGCAAACTAGTCCAAAGCATTGCCATACGTTAGATATATTTTTACATTTTATTCATTGTTCGTTCACCCCTATTACCCCGTATGAGTGAATAAGGTTTGAATGTCCACTCTACATTGATTGTATTGTCATCCTACACCAATAAAAAAAATCAATCAATCAATCAACCAATCAATCAACCAACCAATCAATCAATCAACAGATTAATCAATTAATTAATTAGTCAATCAATCGGCCAGTCAGTCAGTCCCTCAGTCACCCAGTCAGCCAGCCAACCAGCCAGCAAATCAACCAACCAATCAACCAATCAGCGATCTAAACAACCAACTAAATCAATCAAATAATTTGCTCATTTTTTTAAATAAGAACAAGTTTAATCTCTTCACACCAATTATCAACCATCACCATCCGACGCAAGCGAGCTACAACTCCCCAACGTTAAGTAAACCCGCCGAGATGCCGACGCTCGTCCTTTGCAGGGAAGCTGCTGCTCGAGAAGCTGCAATTCGACTCGGAGTCGGGATTCCGCAACACGGACGTGACGGACACGCTGGACAGCCGGGCGATGCGCGTCGACGTGCGCCGCCTCATCGAGCGGCTCTTCAACAAGAAGCGCAAGCTGCAGGAGTACTGGGAGGACCGCGCCGAGCAGCTGCAGTACAACCTAGACGTGCGGCTGCTGCAGCAGGGCATGCAGAAGGTAACCTCACCATCCAGCACCCGTACAATACTCCTGGGTGTGTGTGTGTGTGTGGGGTGGGGGGTGGGGGTGTAGAGGTGCAGTACAATCTAGACGTGCGGCTGCTGCAGCAGGACATGCAGAAGGTAAGCACAGCTCCTGGGGGTGTGGTTGGTTGGGGGTACTCGCCTCAGAACTGGGTAGGGTAGGTGCCTCCGGGACCTTGAAAACCTGACCCTGTTGCAAACCGCTTTGCGCCCTAAAATACACCCTGTCCCAATATACTGCACTAAAAAGTATACCCTGTTGCAATGTTGCATATTTCGGTTATGTCCTGTTCTGTCAATATAGGCAGTTATGGGTCTAATATCGGCCTGGTGATATTGGCCCAATATTGTTTTGCTAATGTTGGGCCGATATTGGACAATTATCTGCCTATATTGGTCCAATATTGGCCCAATATTGTATTTGCCAATATTGGTCCAATATCAGCTTGATGGGTGTGTATCTAGATAACCCTGTGCAATAATGATGTTCGGAAATATACCCTGTGCCAATAATGATGTTCGGAAAATATACCCTGTGCCAATAATGATGTTCGGAAAATATACCCTGGCCAGCGGCACGTCCCCAGTACCTTTAACAATTGGGGTGCGCCCTCCGGGTGTGGATGGATGTGGGGTGGGGGTGGTGTGTGTGTGGGTGTTCGTGTGGGTGTGGGTTGGGGTCGTGGGGTGTGTGTGGGCGTGGGGCAGGGGTGTGGGTGTGGGGGGGTGGTGGGGTGGAGAGGAGCAGCTGCAGTAGAGTATGGATGCGCAGCTGCTGCAGCAGGACATGCAGAAGGTAACCACACCACCCACCATACCATGGGCACGCTCCCGCGGGTATAGCTGGGTGTGGGTGTGGGTGTGGTTGGGTGGGATGGAGCAGCTGCAGTACAACCTGAAGAGGTAGGGGGCTAGTAGAAGGCGGAAGGAGGGTTAATGAGCAGGTGGAAGTAGTAATGGAGGGAGTGGGTTAGACGCCATCAGACGGATTAGGGGTGGATGTACATTGTGTGATTTATGCTTGTGGTTTTGTTTTGGCTACAACGCATGGGCCGGAAATGTCAAATGATTGATGCTTGTTGTGTATTTTGGCTGTCGGAACGTAAGGCATGATTTATGCCTGTTGTTATTGGTGAGGAATAATGTAGAGTGGAATCACGACACAGTTTGGATTTTTGGCTGTAGAATGTTAGCAGTATACGCCGTGTTACAATACTAGGCTAGCCCTGTTTGGAGCACATTTCAGGCTCAATAAGAACATTTCGTGATGTGTGCATACTGCAAGTGTGCTCGCAGTAGGTTTATGTAGGCTTTTTGTTGCGAGGTTTATCCACTTTAACGCAGCAATTTTGCCCGACGTGTAGGTTATAGACTGGATTGTCGGACCAGGTGAAAAAATACTGAAGCTTCCTATCGATATCGGTGATTGCTACGAGGTCGCCGAGGAACTGAGGAAGCAACACGAAGAGATGGAGATGGACTGCACCGTGAGTGTTAGCAGTCGATCACCTCTGTATAACGGACACCTGTCTATAGAGGTCGATTCACGTTTTGTTTGTGTGACAGTTATACGGTGATCCGCCGTTATGTAGAACAGACATCTGCATATGAGTAAAAGTTTTTGCGTTTTCCATTAATTGCATTTATACAGTACACTCACTTCTTTAGAATTGGATCCTTCTTAGAACGGACACCTCTCTATAATGGTCATTTATGGGGTTTCCTTTGAGTGACGTTTGCATACAGGTCGACCTGTTATTACTAGACTAAATATTACAATCCAGCATTGTTACAATCAAGTTCATGTGCTTGCTCACAATTTCCTGTCGTGTGCTGTTGCGTGCATGCATGCGGTATTGTCGCACGATTATGTAACGTACGGAACCATAAACAAAGTAGAGTTCACGCGAGGATATATTTGTTCTACTTTTCCATATGTAGCCTCAGTGATAATTTCCCGTTCTATGTAGGACGTGTACTCAAGCTATGCGGATCTGCGACATCGGGCCGGCATGTTGCTGCAGCAGGAGGAGGGCGGGCACGAGGACATACTAGCTCTGAAGCAGTACATGGATCTCGTGTGCAGGAGCTTTGCCTTCAGGCTGGAGAGGCGGAGAAACCTCGTTGTAGCGTCAGCCCGCTTTCACAAGCTCGTCAATGAGGTAATTTCATTGTGGAAAGGGACAGATCACGAGTTGCATGTATTCTACAAGAAGTAGAATATTGCAGTGAGGAAAGGGACAGATCACGAGTTGCATATAGTAATGATAATAATAATAAAAAATAAAAATAAAAATAAATAAAATAGTAATAATAGTAGACAAGAAGTAGAATAATGATTGTGTGGGATATATAACAAACCACATATTGAGCTACAAATGCAAAAATTTCATCCAACAATGTTAAGATATCAAATAAATAATGGCCAGCATTTTGTTATGTAACTAATGTTACTAACATAATAATGTTGGGACACTGGTTAATAGAGTTAAGTGTATAGAGAGTAACAAAGCAATGTTGCAGCACAGGATGCAATGCTTCCTGTCACGTTACGTTGGCATGACACAGGTTCATGATGGCGTATCGTCGTATATGATTATATGATTATATATATCGTGTTATAGCTGTCCAAGTGTTTAGACGACCTGCTGGAATTTCTGTGCACCGAGGCGTCCGTTGCAGATGTGCCCAGCTCAGAGGCAGCTGTGCTAGCACTCAACGAAAAACACGACATGGCACGTGAGTACCGATACTACCGACACTGACTGCGCTGACTCGACTAGACTTTTTTGTTACCAGCTTATGTCCCTATACTGGGTTCTCTAGTAGGGCGGTGTTGTCTAGAAACACAATTAATTGTAACAAATAAGGGTAGTTGAGAAAAAAACAAATACAAAGTGATCAAGATGCGTGATATATATCTATTGCTGTATTCACCTTTCAACAGAAAGGACGGCTGAGAATTTAGTCATTGAAGGTCATTCGCTCCTGTCCATGATGTCAACCAATGTGTTTGATGCTTTTGGAAATGACGTCACTCCTGATTTCATTAAGCAGGTATATTTACAATGGCGTGCTCTACGCATGTGACGAATTGAACGAGAGACAAGATGAAAATGCGTTTCATGTATTTATACTTAAATAAAACATGCTATGTCTGTCTTAATTGAGAGTAACAGACAAGTAGTTATGAAGTGTTAAGTAAAAAGTCCTGACATCCTAGACTTACAATAATCATAACTATCTGTGATGTTTCTTGCTGTTATAGGCCCTTTCACTGTTATAGTTCAAAATGAACCAATTTGTTTTTAAACATGGTTACTGCTTTTATACCCATATTGGTACGTGTATGTGTGGGGTACCTGTACGTGTCCCATGCATACAATTTGGTACACCTTTCACTATTTACTCATAGATTGATCACGTGGAAGGTATTCTGAATGAGCTTAGTGACAGAAAGGCACGTTGTGACGAACTGGCGGATGTCCGCAAGCTCAAGTTACAGCAGATCCTACAGTTGAGGACATCAGAAAGAGATGCCAACCAGGTGACATTGAGTGCTGCTTATGTGTGTTCTTCTTCCTTTTGTGTTCGTGTTTCGTTTTGTTTTTGTTTTCTGCTGTTCTTGTGGTTGGGGTTGTTGATGCTGTTGTGGTTGTTGCTGTTGCTGTTCATTCATTGTTATTGTTGTTGTTGTTTATTAATTGTTGTTGTTGTTATGATTATTATTATTGTTGTTGTTATTGTTGTTAGTGGTGGCTTCTTCTCCACCTCCACCTCCTTCCTCACACTCCCCTCTTCCTCTATCTACATATCCCACTTCCTACCCCAGTATTTTTTTCTCCAAATCCATTTTCATTTTATGACATTGTGATAACGACTACCAATCTGAATCAATGATTTCCTCTTTCACTTTTCTGAAGTGTTGACTACATGTATACGTGGTATCCATTTGTAGAAACAATGGCAAACATCTTCTCAAGGAAGCCATGAAGCATTAATGTTATTTTTAATTTTTTAATATTTTAAAATTACCATGTTAATGTTCCTGCAGGCTGTGACATGGCTGTGGGAACTGTGTGATGTCCTAGCAAGCACACATAGACACATTGGCACAACAGCAGCAGAGGTCAACGGACTCAAACTCGAACATTTCAAGTTTCAAGAGACAGCAAAGGTGATTCTTATGTCCCTCCACATGTGGTAACACATGTATATTAAGAGTTGGGAACGATTTGTTGAATAACTGACATACAAACATTCAGGGCCATCATTGTCATAGTGCGTTACTTTCATTCTTCGCCTATATATTGTATTCTATCACCAGTGATGATTACGTTTGTCTGATCTAAACTCAATTGTGTTATCTTACCCTCACAACAGAGCACGTACCACTACGGCAAGAAGCTCTTGGATGCTGCAGACATGCTGAGGAAATCATGCAGGCAGGACTCTGCACCCAACCATGAACTGAAGCAGCATTTGCACAGGATCTGGCGAAAGTTCTGTAGTGGTTCCACAGAGCGAACGGCTCGTCTGCTTGTCGCTTATGTTTTCCACAACAATTCTGACAAGGTAATTGGTAGTCTACTGTTAATAGCAAGTTCATGTCTAACTTAATAGCTCCACAGCATTATATAACAAGTTCGTCGAATTTGCGTACGGTAGTGTATTGCATTGTAGAGCTGTGTGAGCATGTGCTTCGTAGAGCTGGCCCAGACCTCCATTTCTCACAAATCTAACAGCGAATCTACACCCATCAAGAAAGTCACTTTAATATGAACTGTTTGACAAGTACTTTTCTGTATGCTAGTCTGCGAAAAGTAAAGGTTACATTTGATGAGCAAACATCCCCAAAGCGCACGAGCAATATCGAGGGGAAGTATAGATGATGTTTGTTGCTTAAAGTATTCTTGGTAATGCTTATAAAAACATCGAGACAGCCTCATCGAAATCCTACCGAACATGACCCCACAGATGTTTATCATCTCTGTAGATTTTCCGTAGGATCATACACATAAAATACACGGTACTTAACATTTATAATAATATCATTCATCGCTTGTGTCACTTGTTGCAGTTGTGTGCAGCCATAGATCATTTGATGCATCTGATCAAGGTGCAGACGAGAGCCCATGGCTTTGACCTAACCTGTATGGTTGTAAGGGAATACACTCTCACGAAGGATAGACTTATTAACGAACTCGTGGAAACGGTCAGAATGGGTTTGGCCATCAGAAAGCGACTGGAAGTACCCATATTTGAAGATCTGAAGTATGCATTTTATTCTCTCATTTTTTTATTGAGTATAGCATTTTTAGTTAATAATGTGCGTTTATCGTATGTTCTTAATGTTCGTGTGTTAATTTTGATGTACGAATTAGGGCTGATAATCATGACCACTCAATTTGTTCAGATCAATTGCCGATTGCTGTATTTTATGCACCTATGTAAGTTTCTGGCAAATGACATAATATAATTTATATATAAAAATAAAAATATACATATAAAACGTGATATGCATGGACCCTATAGCAACCAGCCTGCAGTAGTTTCTCGCACCCCCCTGTCCCTCACTCTTTCCTACTATCTCGACCCCCTCTTCATCTCCGTATCTCGCTCTCTCTCTCCCACTGTTACTCTCCCTTGCTCTTTCTCACTCTCTCTCCTGCTTAAGCTCTTCCTTCCCTCGCTCTCTTTCTCACTCTCTCTCTTACTCTAGCTCATCCTTGCTCTATCACTCCGTCTCTCTCTCTCTCTCTCTCTCTTTCTCATTTTCATTCTCACTTCTTTTCTCGCTCTCTTTTTCTCTATATAGACAAAACTTTTCCTTTGCGACAGAAAAGCGAGTGAGGTCAGCGAGCACGACTCTTTCTCCCCCTCTCCTCTCTTTCTCTCTCCCCCTCTTCTTTCTTTCTTTCTCTTTCCCTTTCTCGCTCTCTTTCTGGATCGCTTATATCTCGAAAGAGAAATCTCTATAGAAAACAATCTCTCTATATAGACAAAACTCGTATTGCCTTTGCAACCGGCCTGCAGTAGTTTCTCTCCCTTACCCTGTCCCTCGCTCTTTCCTACTCTCTCGATCTCCACTTCGTCTTTTTGTCTTGGTGTCCCTCTCTAGCTCTCCCTTGCTCTCTCTTTCTCATTCTCTCTCCTACCCTAGCTCTTCTTTTCTCTCACTCTCTCTCCCTCTCTAGCTCTCCCTTGCTTTCCCTGTCGTTCTCACTCTCTCCCACTCTCTCCCCCTCGCCTACTCTCTTTCCTACTCTCTCTCCCACTCTCTCCCCCTCTCCTCCTCTCTTTCTCGCTCTCTTTCCCACACTCTCCACTCTCCTACTCTTTTTCTCTATCTCTCTCTCCTACTCTCTCCTCCTCTCCTTCTCTCTTTCTCTCTGTCCCTCTCAGTCTTTCTCTCTCCCCGCTCTCCTACTCTCTTTCTCTATCTCTCTCTCCCACTCTTCCCCTCTCCTATCTTTCTCTCTGTCCCTCTCATTCTTTCTCTCTCCTCCTCTCCTACTGTCTTTCTCACTCTATCTCTATTTATACAAACCTCATACTTCCCTCGCGACAGGAAAGCGAGCGAGGTTGGTGAGGACGACGACACGTCGGTCGTAGGCATCGACAAGAAGCTCAGCAAGCTGACGAGGAAGAAGGAGAAGCTCGAGTCGATCTGGTGCGACCTGGAGGAGGTCGAGCGCGGACGCGCCGAGACGCAAACGATGCTCGGCCACCAGGCGGCGCCGGACGACCGCCGCCGCCGCCAGATGGCGACCTCGACCGGAAGCCTTCCCGCGTACCACGCTGCCGCCGACGGCGCGCCGATGCTGCGGTCGCGCTCGCAGGACGCGCTGCCGCCGACCGACGCGATGCCAGCAGGGGGCGCCGCATCGTCGTCGCCTCGGTACGCCGTGCTGCGCATCCCCGGTCCGGAGGGGCCGCTCCCGGAATCCGCGCCCGAGGGATCCTCCCTCGGGATGGTCGCGCGGGCGGTCGATCGACCGGAGGGGAACCTCGTACAGCACATGGTGCGCGACAGCTACCGGAAGCTGATCAACTCGGACCTGCCGCTCTCGGCCGCCTCCGACGATGACAAGAAGAAGTTCGAGTACCTCGAGGCGTTCCTGCGGCACGAGGGAGGAAGCCTCGCGAAGCCCGACGCTCGGCTGCTGCTGCTGCGGCGAGGAGACCCCGCGGTTGCCGCCGGCGACGACGACGACGACGAGACGGTCGCGAAGCTGCGGCAGTCGGTCGCCGACGTCGAGAAGTTTCTGTCGAGCCTGATCCGCAAGTCGGAGCGCTTCGAGAGCGAGCAGGGCGAGAGCGAGCCTCCTTCATACAGCCGCCTCGCGCGCACGCCCGAGTCCATGCGCAGGCTGCGCAAGTCTCCAGAGCGAGGCGTCGACGCGTCCTCCGCCACCGCCGCCGGAGTTAATCCGGATTTCCGGCCGAAGCGGCGGAGACTCGATGATGCGCTGTGGGCGTACAACAACGAGCCGCCGCACGCCGCAGGGCAGGAGCTGCGTCGCGATTCGCCGGCCGACCACGTGATCATCATCGGCGGCAGCGACGACGAGGCGGCGCGAACGCCGGATGCAGCCGCGCCGCCGAGGGTCGACCCGAAGCCGACGGGCGAGGAGATCGCCGCGGCGACGACGACGACGATGGAAGGCGTCGAGGAGGGAAGATGGCCGTCGCCGCCGCCGGCGTCGATGACGTCGCCCGAGGAGGCGTCACCGGACGTGACGCTGTCCTTCGAGGAGCAGCAGGTCGCGGCGAAGATCGCAGAGATCCTGGCGACGCGCGACGACGACGACGATGATGGTGGCTCCCCCTGTCGCTACCAGCCGTCAGAGGTGAGCAGCGCCGGCGCCCCCGAGTGGGCGTCGGAGCGAACCAGCTTCGGCGCGGTCGCGGACGACGAGGAGTTGTTACAGGAAGCTTCCCCGATCCCCAACGAGTCGCCGACGGAAGAACCGGGAATGCTGAACATAAGCGGGAAGATGTCGGAAGACGCCTTCATCCACGATACGTCACAGGAAGATTCCCTGGCATACGTCGACGTCTCGGCAGGAGCATCTCCGGCAGTTGCTGTGGATGCGCGCTCACGTCGGACGCGCGGGAAGCCACGGGAAGATTCCCCGACCGACGTCGAAGCGTGGGAACCTTTCGCGGGCGACCAGTCGCGCGAGAGAACAGCGATCCCGTCTGACGTCGCGACGAGCGAGAAGGAATCCGCGGGTGGAAAGAGAATCGTACCGACGTACAGAGTAGTCAAGTTAGTGGAGCCGGGTCGAGGAGAGAAGCTCTTCGAAGCTCGGCGCGCGGAGTCGTTGCGAGCTTTCGATCGCCACGACGATGACGGGGATGTTGAGATGGACGTCTTCGAAGACTTTCCGCCACCGCCGCCGCCTGAAGACACGGCGGACGCGGGGGCGCTGCGACTGACGCCGGCGCCCTCGCTAGATGGCGCCACCGCGTCCTCGCCACGCGCGATCTCCGCGTCCGACGAGCCGGGGAAACTCGACGAGACGGACGCGGGCCGCGGAGGCGTTGTCACGGCGACGGTGGACGCGGTCAGCTTCTGGAGGAGAGCGACGGACGACGTCGAGCGACTGATCGCCGTCGTCGAGGGCGCGGTCGGGAGGCTGAGCGAGACAATCGACGAGATCCACGGTCGCCGTGACGACGGGAAGCCCGGCGCAGCACAGGGCGGGACAGTGGAAGAGGAGTCGGATGCAGGAGTAGGGCGTGCAGTTGGAGCCGGTGATGCTCGGCGAGGCGCGGGTGAGGACGTGCAGTCGTACGAGGGCAGAGAGGAGTCGGCCGCCGTCGACGCAGATGCAACCGTTTCTGATGAGGACATGGTGAGTGCAAGGTTCTTATAGTACTAATGCATATTTTGATTGGTGAATATTTACCATATTCATTACTTACACCATTTCACCATTAATTATTTTTTAAGGTTCTATATGTGGTTTGTGTGTGCTTGCGTAATGTTTTACTGCTGCCGTCAGAATGTTTTATCAGTTTGGTGTTGGATAGTGCTGCCACCAGTGGACAATTTGTGAACTAATAATTTAACGAATGTACTCCGTAAAACGTACACCCCCGTACACTGTAGACATACCTAACTAGTGATGGGTGAAATTAAATATTGGCTTGTGATTATTGAATCTAAATTCACGAATAGTGGAACCAATAGCAATGCCTAAACCTGCGAATTAACTTTTCTTATTTATAAAGCCATTACTCGGTAAAAAGTAACGTTAGGCATTTACGGATTCGCCTACACGGCAAGGCGATTATTTATGCTGAAATACACCACACATCTGTGGCAATCTTCCTAGGAAATGGATAGAATTCTTTAAATAAATGCCATAAGTTCAACACAGGAAGTCTGCTACAATTGATGCCCCCACCATACTGTATGTGCGGGCAGCTCTCTGGAAATTATATGATGCAATATTCAAGCATGCATCATTGCCCGCGATCTGCCTATCTGTACTGCCAGTCGCGCGGCACGTGTAGCTGCTTGGGAATTGCTCATACTCTGGGAGGAGGATGAGGATGGCTTGGAGTCTGGGCGTGTGTGTATAGCAGATGCAGCAGCTGCCTAGTGAAGGCTGAGCAGCAGTTGCCTAGTAGCGGGTAAGCAGCAGTTGCCTCATTGAGGCTAAGCAGCAGTTGCCAATCTCAGGCAGGTATAGTATTTCATGCTTTCCATAAACGTTCGCCGTGAAACCAGAGCTAGCTTATGACTGCAGCCTGACTTCCTTTAATGGCAGGCGGAAATGCCGTGGGCGTTCGCATCGCCCCTCTGAATCACGTCCGTCAAACACGGCGACGCTTCTGATTGGTCCGTGACGGAGGCCCGCGCACATGTGGTTAGCGCCATTCAAGATTTCGCAAATCGTTAATTCTAACAGTTACTGTTAGACTGTTCAGGAAGGAGAGATCTCTCAACAGTTGAGAGCAGACAATCAGCACGCTTGACACTCAGGCCTGTGGTGTGTCAACGCAGTTAAGGTTGTGAGCACTGACGGATATTATATTAGGTTCTTTCTACTCGCACTACATCTAACAGTATAGTCAAGAATGTCACGATAGTGCAACACAAGGTCGAAGCTTCCTAAGGCAAAGAATTGTGCGCAATAAATGCGTTGGCTAAACCCTCTCGATATCCACAATGCTGCCCGTTCGTAGTGATGTCCATAGCGGTGCCGGCTGTCTCCCGTGCGCCAAGTTTGTTGGTATAAGTGACGACACTAAGAAAACAGAAGACGAAATGCGTTGGAAGATTGTTAGTGATGGCGGCGTGTACAGCACGTCCGTATCCATTGATAGTAAAAGGGCGCGCCAACACTTTTGAAGCCATGCTGTACACCGCCCGCAGTCATATATATATATATATATATATATATATATATATATATATATATATATATTATATATATATAAAGTATACATATAAATAAATAACAACTAATTAACTAACTAACTAACATACAAAGTCAATGATTAAATAATAAATAGATAAATAAATATGCATTGCCCTTTTATAATATAAAATATGAGTAGACTTATGATTAGTATGGGTAAAAACAATTCAAAGTTTAGGCACAAAACAAATGCACTTTAAATTTGGGTACCTTATGCAGATTCTCATTAAAGCATTGATTTAGCCTGCGAGGAATTTATTACCGTTAGATTGAGTGTACGGAAAGCTGTCGCATGGTATCCACCACATAAATATCTCACCTACGATCTTACACGACATACGCCTTCTGTCATAAGCACGCTTCCAATTAATCATGCTGTAATACGAGAAATTATAGTGTTTTTCAGTCTGTATTCGTCAGTCAGATACGTCATTCACGAAGAAATATGCGTGTCGCCTGTTCGTGTCAGGAAGACCCGTCCCGCACGGATAAAAGATGGCAGAAAACAATTTTTTACATTATGCTAATAAGTGTTAACATAATATGTCAGTCTTGGCGTACCGTACCGTATGTTTTTACAATCGCGTCGTTTTTTGGCTTTGGTTACTTCGCTATCGGTACTATAGACCCTGTCTCGCTGCGTCGCACGACGAGACATAATTATGTCATCATGTCTTTGTGGTGCATGATAATGTTCCCAAAAACGCTTTACAGGGAAATGACAAAACTGAGATACAACCATGCCTGCCAGATTACGGTGGTTAAAGACACTTCCGTTTTAAAGATTGGTTAGGGCGTGGTGTAAGCGTTTACAATAATTGTTGACAAACAGATATATGTCTACAGATGTATAATTATAAAGAATTCATACGCATACTACGTACGCGAACCATTCATAAACCAGAGTTATAGCTGTGTAATATGTCCAACATGTGAGCACAACAGGATGATACTAGCTTATGTAATGCCGTAGTAGCTGATCTCTCACACCAACAGCGGTTTTTGTGTCTGTTTACGTGTGATGTGTTTTGAACACGACCTTCCCGCTGTACTTGGACGGTAGGGGGTGGTCCACGAACATGTGTATTCTTACACCCCACACAAACACGCACGCACGCACGCACGCACGCACGAGCACACGCGAACACGTGGACGCGCACATGTCGTTGAGTCACGTTACTCATCGCTGTCCACATGCCCGCCACCCCCGCCGCATGAATTCTTCAACCCACGTCGCTGTGGAGGCTGCGCTGGTCCCGCGGTTATATACCGGGATGCCGGCTTCGCGCGATCAGTCAGAGTGTGTTTAGAGCCGTGTTTAGCTGCATGCATACCGAACCACAACCAGATCCCTAGCCCATGGATGTATAGAGGAGAGAGCGAAGTGTAGAAGAGATGTCTGACGCGCGAGCGAGCGAGAGTGAGAACGGCGGCGCGCTGGCCAAGGCCGACGTCACCGGCGGCGTCTCCGAGCGACAGCACCAGACGACGACCATCAGCACAGTCGCCGTACAGGCCGGCACGTCACGGATAGTCCTTGCCGTACTGAAAGTAGGCGCCTTAGTGCTTATTATAAGCTTTCTTAGTGTGTATGTCCGTATGTCGTTCCGTCGGCGCGATGTGTCGGGCGCGATCATCACCTTTGACCTCACGCAGGAGGTTCACGCTGCGGGAGTGTCGCCGTAGGGGATGAGGCGGCGGAGGAGGAGGAGGAGGGGGTCGATATTTGTGATGCTCGGCGTTGACCTTTGACCCTCGCGTGCAGTCGGTGTGGGGGTGTCACTAGGATGGGAGTGTCAGTCGGATGGGGTGGGACATGGTGGGGTGGGTGGGGTTGTGTTTCCCTCATTTGTCCACGCCAATCTCGCTGTGCATTTTAACGTTGTACGGTAGTGTACTAAAGTACGCTGAACATTCTATAAAGTACCAAGTGCTAAGTCGCTTACATTTATTACGTTTTCTTGGACTGGATTTATAAGGTCATGCTGATTCGTCTGCAAAGAAGTATTTCACTTCTTCTTCCTGGTCAAGACTTCCCATGTTAACGATTTCGTCTGGATGTCATCTCATCCCATTGTTATTTAATCTTTTGCGCGTTATTCCGTTTACGAGTCAGTAAGATCAACATCAGATGTTAAATGGGTCGTTTAACATCGACATTAATGCCGAAAAGATTAGAGCATACGATGGTTTTTAACAAAGATATGGTTCATCTCAGATATCCAAGATACACGTTGCCGAAAACGGCGATTCATCGTAATCGACACGAGCTACAAAGCTGTGCATATATAGCTGTAAGGTTTCCATGCGCCGTGTTTATACAGATATTTCAAGAAAATTTATAAACTCCGTATTCTATATATAAATTCCACGTGATGTATTGATTAATCCCACGTGCTGCCCCGTAACCCTACTATCGACAGAAATCAAAGTTTGAAGATGCTGTCTAGTTAAGTGTAGTGTTAAACCCCGGCATCTGCCTCTTATCTGCTCTAAGAATAGCAGCAAAAGCTAGACAGTTCCCCGCGTTTGCTGCTGCCATATACTGTAATAACCTAGTGCTAATAGACCTTGCTAAAGATGGACGTATCCCGCAGAAAGGCGTGCTCGCAACACCCACAGATACAAATAACTTTACTTCTTATGCGCTAATAATGCAACATTTACTGCTTCTTGCTTTCGGCTGCGCTGGATACGCGCCATAGGCGGTGTATAGTTTATCTGTACGTATAGATAGGTTGTCTTGCTTGTGTGATTGTATACACAAGCGTGATTGTATACATACGTGTAACTATATCAAGGAATGTTACTAAAATGATTAGGTTGGATAATGTTCTGCGTTAGTTGCTAACTCTTTATAATTTCTAAAACCCATGAACCTCTCGCCTCTAAGTCTAAGATGTTAGCCAGCTAGATCCAGCTATTACTGTACAATACTAGAAAAAAACACGCGTCGATCACGATGAATTTAGCCATGTGCTCGCTAAAATGATGCTTTTGGCCTGGCATCGTAGCTTACAAATTTAGTAGTTTCGATTCCCTAGCGTGTTATGAATTGTAAAATATCATTCCAACGTATATAAATATTTTTAATCAGCACAGAGTTCGCTTCGGTAATAGCGAATACACAAGACGTTTAATATGTGTAGCCTTCTAGGCTCTTGACCTGATGTTATAGAGGGATACGGTCTGTGATCTGAGGTCTGGTTTCAGGCGGCATATGGCGTGGAAATAGCTGTGCGGTAGGGCACGTGTGTGATGTTGATAGTTGTCAGTGTCTCTGCGTGAAGAGGCTTGAGGGGTAGCATGCTTGTGGTGTGCCTTTACGCGTGTGTGCATGCGGGCCCTGCACGCGTGCGCTGCTTGTACACGTGCCTATGAGCGTGTGTAACGTATGCGTGCGCGCGCGTGTGCGTGTGTATTTG